GAAGCCCTGGCCCTCATCCCCCCAAGTCCGCTGGCCCCTTCACTCGCTGACTTGAGTGAAAGAATCCATGCAGGGTCCCGAGGTGGGCTCGAGCCTCAGTTTCCTTCCCTATGTCCCTGACATAACCTCAGGCTCAGAGGATCTACAAGGAGGGAAACCCCTGCACCTGCCAAGCAGGATAGAAACCCCTGGCAAACACAGCACCCCCCACCTCGGCAAAGTATGGCTGTGGTATAAGTTTCCAGACTCCCCTCCAAATGAACTGGGGCCTCAGGGCTCGGGGCTGCCACATGGCCATGGTGAACGATGCCTCTTGGGTCTGACAACAGAGACAGAATAGAGCCTGACGCTTAATGCTTTTGCTGAAATTGCAAGACATTTTGGAAATCCTTGTCAGGCCACCAAAGTGTCCCGCCGCTTCCCGGGGCTTGGCTGTTCATCTTTCATATGCTTGCTCTCTCTCGGCCTAGCTTCTTTCCGGTCCAAATAAAACCCTTTGAGCCCCTAGGCCTGTTGGCTTGTGCTTACTTTCACAGCTAGTAACTAGCACTTCAGACGAGCAGGAAGCCAATGGACACAAACTTTGCTTTTCTACTAGGTTCGGAGAGGATTCTTCGTACAGAGTATTTCCCATTTAGGTAGAAGGTGGGAAGTGGGGAGAGGGCCCAATATGCAGGTGTGCTTCATGTCAGTTAGCAACTCACTGCTTCTCATTCCACCTTCCTCATGCAACGACGTCTGCCTGGAACAGGGCCAGGCGTGGCAGAAGGGAAATAAAAACATTGTTGGAGATGGTGCTATTTGGGGGAGAGTTTCATGTCTGAGAAACCTAGTTCCCTCTGTGAAGTGATTTGGACCATTGGCCTTGCTTTGGGGAGAATTTATTGGGGCCTGGCCGATGGCAGGACACTGGTTGAGGGTCCAGAATCACAGAGAATTGCCAAGGACTTTGGAAAGCTAACCTCTGGGATCGGTTTTCACAAGAGCTAAACGGGAGAAACTTAGATTTCGGTCTTAGCCTTCAGCCTTAGCTTCTTATTCTGTTTCTGGCCCCTCATTAAGGTAGCAACCCCAGCATGCCCTTGGTACCATGCCACCTGCCTGAAGTCCCTGCACCCACCTGGAATGGCCACACTTACAGTCTTTTCTTGATGGGATAAGAAAGGGGTTTTGCATGCATGTTAACCTTTTCTGGAAATTTTTAAAATAAATAAAGTTTTCACTGAAATCACTGGGCATATATATACCTACATTTTTCCTTCTAAATACTGTTCTCTACTACTGTCGTTTGAGACAGGAGGCATCGGGGGACTGGGAAGTTGGGAGGGTGGGCTGAAAGACATGAAGACTTGTAACACATTCTTACACGACAGATGCATCACTTGTGACATGTGGGAAACAGTCACACAGGTGCCCCGGCCTCGTGCGTGCACACGTGTGCGTGTGTGTGTGTGATGTACGTAAGATCTAGTCTGTGTCTGACACACTGCAGAAGCTCCGTAGATGGTGGCTATTGTTTGTAGGCGGGAAGAGCAGTGAAGACAGGATGAGTCAGAGGAGGCTTTGGGAGCAAATATTTACTTAGGATTTTTTCTTGTTAGTGAGAGAGTCTCAACTTGAACCAGTTTAGGAAAAGGAAAGAAAGAAGAAGAGGGAGGGAGGTGGGGAGGGAGGGGCAGGGGGAGCACAGATGGCTCATGCATTTCAACTGTGGGACAGGCAGGGCTGGGACTCGCCTTGGGGACAACGCGAATGACATCCTCCCTCCATCTCTCATCTATTCCTCTCTGTGCTGTGGTGTCTTGCTCCATCCTCATGTCTCCATGAGGGGGGACCATGGCTATTGGTAGCTTTGGGCTGATAAACCACAGCCTCGGGACCAAGAAGGAAAAACAGCTTTCCCATACTTTAGTTAGAAAGATTTCAGGACCATTGCAGTTTAGCGCAACGAAAGGGACATGCTATCGGCCTGGCTGGGATGGGGTGGGTTCTTACCCAGAACCCCATGGGCCCAGTAGGGGAGATGCTGCCCCTGGGAAAGGGGGAGGGAGAGCAGAGCAATCAAGATCATGGTCCTGTCTCAGGCTGGCGGGTGCAGTTCCTGAGCTGGGCCCAGGAGCCAGGGAGGATTTGAATAAGGAGTGGGGAGGGCTGGCCTCTGCTCTGGGAGAGGGAATAGGGTACCAATTCTGGGGGCACTGCGATGCTGGGAGACAGGAACGTCAAGGCCACAGCACTGATCTCTTTGTAATAAAATCTAAACATCACCGCCTCAGCTTCTTCAAACCCTTCTGGATGTGTTTCAAGTTTCCCCAGAAGCCAACGGCGGAGGTGTCCTGCTGTTGGGTTCCCCTCCTGGCCTGGAACCTCCGGAGATGGGGACAGCTTCTAAGTGTTTGGAAAGTGCTTATTTCCTCCACTGATGACATTCCTAGTTATAAAAGTTTCTTAGCTTTCTAGAGTCTTTTTTTTAAACATAGCTATTTTTGACAAAAATATAAATATCCACCACCCTGACAGGAAAGACAGCTGCAGGCTCCTGCTCTGAGCACAGGCCCCTGTTCCTCGGATTACACTCTGTGGAGCCAGAGCCTGTCTGGAGGAGGAGGCAATAACTTGGGGCTGTCAGGTCTCCAAGTTTTCCACAAGGACAACAGAGCCACAGGCCATAGGAGCAGCTGCGCAGCTGTGCCTACGGACACTGGGAAGCGTCCAAGGCCCCTGGGCCCAGGACACGCGACTGCCCCTGAGCCGTGAAAGTGTACCCCATTCTTGTGGCCAGATGTCACTCTGGCTCCTCTTTCTGGGGGCATCCCCCTCCTCCTTCTGCTACTGGCCAAGTGTTAACTTCACCTCCCCTTGTGCCTTCCCACCAGCCCCTAGGAAGCTGGAACAATGCAGGAAGAATTCTCTGGCCAAGAGCACTTCTGGCATAATCTGAGCCCGGTAAGTACTTGGAAGATGCACCTGGTCCAGAAATGCTCCCTGGGGTGTCTGGGTGACCACGATGTGTCTTAGGTCATTAAGTGCCTTAGGTTTTGTGTCCTGGTTTTAGCAGTGACTAAAGTCAACTCGTAGGCACAGATGCCATTTCTGGGGCCTTGAAGGGGTCCCTGAGGTTGAGCCTGAAGTCTCACTGGAAGGTTGATTCACTCTTGGGGACAGCAGCAGCATCAAAGTCTCCGGACAGCAGCACCTCTCAGTAGACACACTAGGACACCCCTGGTAAGTGGACAAGGATGGCGGCCCCCACGGGTCCTGGGCTGATGTGAGGAAACAGTGAGACGCAGGGCCTTTCCCTTGGGGTGTGAGCATCAGGGCCATACCAGGGGACTCCCCTCCCACAGTCCCTGGTGCTCAGTGCAGTGCTGCAAATGTGGCCTCATGCCAGACTCCAGCCTCTGCTCCTAATGCATCTGAAATCAAACGGTCTGTCCTGGCACACACACCGCAGTGCTGCCAAAAGCTGAGCTGCCTGGCAGATAACTCCCTGGGCCCGAGAGAGCACCTGGAGGTTTCTTAATTCCAAGCACTTTTTCATTTAATGCTATCAGACTTCATCTTGTTAGACGGCCTCTGCCTGCCAAGAGCTTTTTGAATTCTGATTTGTCTAACATATTTAGTTCCCTTCATCCACAAATTTGATCAGCTCTTTAAGTCTTCATCCAATTATTAAAGAGAATGTTTGGCTGGACCACAGGCCATGGCCTGAAATTCCCTCCAATGTGACATATGTTCAACCAGTCCCTCGTTACAGATGAACAGCTAGTTCTAAGGTCTCCTAACCGCCAGCTTCTCATTTACACCAGAGACTTCGACAAATGAGTACACCGCACACATTTCCCTCATCACCCGCCAAGCAGTCAAGAGAAAGAAGTGAGTTTCACCTGTACGCGTGTTTGTGGTGAACATACTCTGGGCTTTGACACTTGATTTAGTGCACAAACTCTGGCTGCAAAGGGATCAGATAACCAAACGCGGCTCTTTGAGGAGTGACTTGTATGAGCCTCCCAGGAGAAGAGGGGTGCGAGGGAAAGGTCTGAAGGAGGGCAAGGCCCACCTTGGAGAAGGGCAACCTTCGTAATAGGAAGACCATTACCAGCGCATGTGCAGAGAGAGAAGGAGGGGGACACTCAAGACCCCATCAGAGATCTGTCCAGTGATGAAAACAAGAGGACACAGGGCTCTGAGAAGCCACCAGAAAGGCCACATGAATGTTTATTACATAGAAAAGAGGGAGAGGAAGGAAAGGTTTCCAAAGCCATAGTTCTGAGATTTAAAAAAACGCAAACTTGGAATGTCAAAGAGAGGCCATGCTTTATATATTTATAATATGAATATATAAATATGTACATGGAGATATGTACACAGGTTTTTATTGTCATACATGGTATTTTTCATCACATGTACAGTAATGGTGCTTGAATTACACGTTTTAAAGCTGGCAGAACGCTGGAGAAATGGGAACCCTGGTCAGCCCCTAGAGGGCGGCATGGAGACCCAGCAGCAGTGGGCAGGTCCTGGGTTGGGATGGGGTATGGGATTGGGGGTGGGGCTGGGTTCTGAGGTTCTGGGAGAGCTAAGCTGCAGGCAGGCCTGGGCCCCAGGCTGCAAGATTTGGGCCAGGGCAAGTCTGGAAGCTTCCCTAGGTCCCTGACATTAAAAATTTCTTCTCTTAGAACTGAGGAAGGCTCCAGTCATTGAAATGAACTGGAAAACCCCCTCAGCTGGATTGGATTCCAGGGAAAGTCCGTGGAAGTGGGGTGGGCTCCCAGTGGTCTGGGTAGATGTGAAACCAGAAACCCCAGGGAGATCAGAGAGTGGGTGGGGTCTTGTCAGAAAACAATAGAAATGCACAGCGACTGATGTAACAGAAAGGAGAGGGACCCGAGCACTGCCAACCACGGCGTCAAAACCTGTGAATCACAACACAACACTCGTCCATACATAAATTCAGCTAATACACAGAACCAGGCTTGTTTCTATGTATGTTGCTGTTGTTTTTTTGATGGCACCACATACAACAGCATGGAACTTAGCCTGTGAACAGGGCCAGGGTGCCCAGGCCAGGTACAGCCACCATCACCATCGCCCTCTCCCTGCTTGGAACATGGATCAAGCACTAACCCAGGCGGGGTGGACGTGACCTCCGTCCCCCTTCTCTCCTCACTAGTTCCTATACGGGGGCTGGTGGGGTGAGGGGTGGGGGGAGTTGTGGGAACAGAAAAGGACCTCCAAAGAGAGGATTGCCTGTAGCCCAAAAGAGACCATTGTCCCCTCTTCTCTGGGCAGACCCCCCTCGCTCCTTCTATAGAAGGCCAAGCTGGGGCATGGAGATGGGCCCAGCCAGGTTTGCAGGGTGGGGATGCTGAGCTTGCAGACTCTGGGAGGAAGAGGTCCAAGACCAGGGGCCCTGGAGAGAGAGGAAACCGTGTGCGCACCCGGGCCCAGAATGGGGGTAATAAGCCCGTGATGGAGGGAGACGGCTCCTGGGTGAGGCACGGAGCTCCTTTGGAGACATTAAGTCCCCAGTTCTGAGTCTCCAGACAGACCCTGGCCTGCCTTCACCCAGCATCAAAGGGGCTGTGAGTGTGTATGTGCACCTGTGTATAGGTGTGAGTGTGTGTTCGGGCAGGTGTGTGTGCGTGGCTGAGAGGGTGGCAGCCAGGTGAGCTGTGGAGTCTGGACCAGCCTGAGTGGCTGGAATTTTAGCAGATCCAGGCAGGGATGGGGAGCGGTTGGGAACAGAAATCCCACAGCTAAATCCAAAGAGAGAGACAACTTGTACCAGAAATCAGGACACACACAAGTGGGACCCTGTTATATCCTGCCCCATCTGTGACGGGGTCAGGAAGTGACAGTGAAATTGAGAGGCCAGTGTTTATGTTTTACTGGAAAGAGTCCTGGCCTCTGAGTCCATGGGGCTTGCACAGGAGAGAACAGAGAGAACAGCCTCTGCTACTCTTGTCCCTGTCCCTGTCCCCCTCCCTAGCCATGAGGCTCATCCCCCAAGCCTTTCACCCAGAGAGAAATGGGAAGAATGACAGTTGCCCAGGCCCCTCCTTGTTCCCAATCTATAGATGGATAAACTGACCCATTAAGACAGTGGGAGAGACGAACAGCGCTGAGCCTGGAACTCAGCCCCGGGGCTTGGGAGGCATTCAGGATCCCTCTAGTTGGGATTTCCCCAACCTGTCACCAGAGGCTCTCATCCTGTCTCCACGTGGGATTTGGGGTGGATCCAGGAGTGTCTGAGCAGGAGCTGCCACACCTGTGTGAGCCCACGAACTTACTGAATCTCTAAGAATCTAACAGGAAGAAAAGTGATGGAAAACACAGGACCCCGAGTATTGCCACCTGCTCAGGCTGACCTCAGCCTCCCTTCCCCTCACAGCTTGGCATCCTGTCTCGTCCAGCACACACAGGGCTCTCTGGAGGATGAGGGTCCAGCCCCAGGCCTCGGAGAGCGCATCTCCCACCCCTAACCTGGGTTCATCTTGCTACTCCACCTGTGGAGGCGGGGATGGAGAGATGCTGCTCTCCAGGAAAAAGGCATCTTTGATCTGTTTCTCCAAGGCCACATCCACAACCTGCTTGGTCCACTTTGGTGCCCACTGAATGTAGAAATTGCTGAAGGTAGAAATGCAAACAGGCAGCCTGCACTTGTAGGACTGCTGGAGGCCCACACAGGGAGCCCACGGAGACAAAGGCTGGGTTCCGTTGGGGAGTGTGTGTCAGCGGTGGTCAGCAACTGCTTCAAACCGCTCATCCCATAGGTAAGGTCATGGTCTCTGGGGAGGGTCAGCGAGGATGGGGAGGGGCTGGTGCTTTAAAAGTGCTCATCCACCTCCAATCCCCCTGTTGAAAGCCCTCTAAACAAGCTGACAAGAGGGAGTAATAAGTCAATAATGCCTGCAGCCACCAACCGGAGAATTTACCTTTAAAAGATACATCCCCAAGCAGTTTACACAGAGCACGAGGCTTTCTTTGCCAGCATCAGAAACATGGTAAAAACAGCCAGTGTCGTTAAATCCTGGTTAAGTCCTGAGGTGGGCCCGGAGCCCAGGTCCAGCTCTTCTGCCAGGGTCGGATCCGTCTGAAAACCCAGCTGATAGCCCCCCGCTGCTGGTAAGGGTCATAGGAAATAAAATGCACCCCACAGTGCCTGCAACGGCCCAACCTCTGGACGCTGTCCTTGTCACCGGGGCTGACACATGGGGTGTTGGGGGCAGCAGAGGGAGGGCATCGTGTCCCTTCCTTCTCTTTCCTCGAGTGCAGCCAGAGGCTGGCTCCAGGGCCAGGCTGCCTGCTCAACAGGCCAGGGTTGGGGGAAGGTCACAGCAGGGTAGCCCCTGACCGCAGCCCCAGCACCATGGCAGGCAGGAGGGGTGCCTGAGCTGAGCCGGAACCATCGTTCCCTGTTACTCCCACAGGGGCCCTGGCCTTCCAGACCTGAAGTCTTGGCTCAGACTGAGATCTTAAGATCCAAGTCAATGTCTCCACTGCCCACAGGACACTCCCAGGCTGCCAGGTAGCTCATTCTTGCTCCAGGATCCTGCTCTGGCTCAAGGGAATTGCCACTCTGATTCAAGTGTCAAAATTAGGTCCCGAGAGCATCTCGTTCACTGTGAAGCTCTCTGTGTCACTGTGATCCCCGCCCCAAACACCTGTGACATAGGAATGTCCCACAGAACTCTGACTGATAGATAAAAGGCTGGACCTGAAACGGGCCCTTGGACTTCTGGACCATCACTCTTTTGCTGTGCCACTAAGGTGAGCCCAATCTGTCACCCAAGGGCTGTGTGTCAATCAAGCACTAGCTGGCCTGAGAACACCACTTTTCAGCTGGCTGGTGTTTTATAAATTAACGCTGGCCATCTAACAGCCTGAGCTGCCAGCTCAGACTGCTCAGAGTACACAAGCCACTGTTCCTTATCTAAAGATGAAAATACTGAGACCATGGCCTCACTTAGCGGGAAGTTATTTTGAGCTGATCCGCCCGCCTGGCAGTCTTCACAGACCCATGGTTCAGAAGACAGGAGGGAGTCCTCTTGGTCTCTTCCACACATCAGTTACCTGCAAAGGGGCTGCCGCCTGAGACTGCTGTCTTCTCAAGTTTGAAGAAGCAGCTGCAGGTAAAGGGAGGACCTGAGGGAGGGGATGTGCAGACAGGAGCTGTCCTTCCAAGCACATAAACCCCTGCATGAAGCCATCCCATACTGGGACTCATGGTGACAACTGTCACTCAAGAAAACCCCACCCATGTCTGCACTGTGTCACTAAACGTAAGACACAAATTGCTATCTCTTCTCTGCCCCCTCAGCAGCCACTCCAGCCAAACCAGGAAAATCAGATCCACCTCGGTCCCTGAGGGGGCAGCCCCACCTGACACCTGTCATCGCTCCAGGCAAACTCAGGGGAGCTGTTTGGGGTGACGGGCTGTAGGCTGGTGGCCTTTACTTCCCTCGACTGACTGACGCTGTTTTTATCTGATTCGAGGGGAGGCTCCGTGCTGTGACGCCGCTTCCTCGAGAGCAGCCTGCTCTCTCTTGGCCTGGAGGATACCGTCTTCACACAACGGCAGGTTCTGACTTTCTGAATGAAACCAAACCTGAGCCCATACCTTGAAAACACAGAGGCTTCCCAACATGAAAGCAGCATCAAAGGCCTGGGTCAGGGCCAGGAAGAAAGGAGGAGGGAAGAGATAGACACAGCCAGGTGTTCAGAAAGTGCAACGCAGCCCCAGGCAGCAATGCGAGAGGGACCAGATGCTCATCAGAATGAAGTGGGGGACTGCCGGGCAGGATCGGGTCCAGGAGCAGAGAACCCACCTCTGAGTCAGGGCCCAGGGGCTGGTGAGTGGCTGGAGGGAATTCTGTTTCTCCAAGGATGCCAGTTTGCTGTCCAAGCCATAGCGAGCCCGACACCCCTTCCCAGTAGGACTATGAAGCCTAGCGGATAGAGCGGGTGGGCCACTGTCCCAGGATGGAGGGTTTAAGAACACAGACCATGCAAGCAGTGGCCCCAAAATGGGCTCACAGTGAATCCAGGGGGCTTGTCTAGCTGCAGGCTCCCCAGGATTTCCCATCCAGCTCGGGGCAAATGGCCAGACAGGCCACTTCTCCAGCCCTGGCCAGATACTGACTGAGTCCCTGATGGACAGGAAGAACCCCTCAGAGAGAAACCCATCCAATGGCACAAAGTGCGGTAAGCCTGGAAACTTGGCTTTGGGCCGTCCCATTTTAGCGATTCCTACATTAGAATGAAAATGAAAATAAAACAGACGTGTAGATGTCCACCTTGTTACTGTCATTTAGATCTGCTTTCTCTTAATTTCTGATCGATCTTGACCTGAAGTAGCCTGGACAGCTTCTGTTGGCGCCAGCTCTGTAACAATCACTCACAGAGGTTTCTTAAAGGACCCAACCACCCCTTTGCAATGGGAGAAAATTCTGTAACACCAACAATGTCACCCGAATGCATCTATGCAAGAAGGATTTTCAAAGACAGGTCCACAAAGCCATACTTTTTTTTTTTTGGCAATTCTAAAACCCCCAAAGCTCTCAAATGGTGTTTTCTCCCATAACTTATTTAGTGGCAAAATCTGACCTGTACTGACGTGACGCTATTTACAGTGTTATTGATCCTAATTAGTCTGACTATTCACATATTTCTCTGCAGAAATGGTTATGTGTTTGATGGCAGAGCGCTGTTCCAGACTCTGCTGGGCTGTTAGGAAATGAATTGGTAAATGTCTCTTACTCTCTTCCTCAGATCCAAAAGTTCTGAATTCAGAGACCTGTCTGGCCCTAAGGATTTCAGAGAAAGGACTATGAAGCCAAAATGGTGTTGAGTGTAATGTGAAAGGCTGCCCACTCAGACCCAGGTTGGTACATTTATGTCTGAACATCTGGCAAGTCCAGCAGTTTCACCCCAGGCATGGAGCCACTGCTCTCCTTCCCAGAGAAACAAAGGCCCCAAGGTTTCCGTGGCAAGGAGGTGGGGGCTGTGATGAGAGAGGGCAGGGCCAGGAGACACCTGTGGGGATCTGTACCCCCGACAGCTGAGGGCACATTCTTTTCAGGATGGGAGTCTGTCCATCCTCACTTCCGCCCATTGCTGCCCTCACGAGACCGCTCTGGCAGGGGCTGGGGACCTGGAGGAAGTGTCCACTGCAGTCCGGCCCCTTGATGGGCAGGACTGCCCTGCACACCTGGACCAGGCCACTGCTGTCTGGCCATGCAGCACCTCGTGCCCCCCTGGTGGGCAGTGGGCAATGCAAAGCAGGCCAAGGGAGCTGGGCGCTCCAGCCTCCCTGTCAGCACTCCCGTCTCCACCGTCCTCCCCAGCCCTCCCAGATGCTCTGGGGGTCTGCCACGCCACCCACCGAAACCAGGCTTTCTGAAGCAGCGGGAGGAGCTGGCAGCCCTCAGAACCTGCTGAGAAAAGCAGATGCATTTTCAAAATAAATAATAGTTTTAAATCCCCCCTTTCCACTCCAAACCCAGGAAACGGCAGAAGAGAACGTGTGAAGACCCCGTGTCTGGCGCTGCCTGGCGTGGCCCTCGGGGCACCAGGCTTCTGAGCGGCTTGCCTGCGCTCACAGCTGCTGTGGGATGCCCTGCTCCTTGTAGCCTGTGAAGAAGAAGCAGAGGAGAGCTGGTCAGACACCCATTTCCCTCAGCATTTCTCCAGGCGGTGCCCCCAGACTAGAATATGCTAGAACCTTACTCACACAGAGGTGTAAATGACAGTCGAGGGCTTGCTTTTCCCAAGGACATTGGCTTTTTAATAAGAAACCAGGGGAATGAGTGGAGAACTGGGGACCTTTGGGTTTAGGTGGGGATATATGGGACGAGAGTTTCTGCTGCTGTATCTGGTGGGGGTTGGAAGGTTATCAACGTGCCCCTGAATCCACACGGCACAAAAGTGGCCCCCGCAGACTGGCCTGCTGTGATTTCCCAATGCAGAGCCTTGGGGGAAGGTACCAGGCAGGCTTCTCCAAGTGATGGGCATCTGGTATGTGTGGATGGAGAGGAGGAAGGAAGGAAGGAAGACAGCACACGGCAGGGAGGAACCAAGCACGTGTGTTCCATCAGCTGCATCTCTGTGACACAGGCAAGGGCGACTGATGGCTTCGAGCCTTTAAAACATTGGTGATAATTATGGGGACATTGGAAAAATTGATCACTATTGATATTAATGAATTGATGTTAGTTTATTTGGGCATGAAAGGGTATTGTGGTTTTTGTTTTTTTGTTTTTAAGATACCTACTGAAATATCTAAGGGGTGAAATTAGAAGTCTGGAATTTGCTGAGTTGTTACCCCAATTAGCTGGTAACTCAGCCCACAGAAGAGCTTCAGTAGATACTTACTTGGGTTTTTTCTCTTTATTTACCAGATTCTTTGTCAGGCTTAGGTGTTGGGAAGGTAGGAAGGTGCAGGGAGTGACGGATGGAACCAGAATGGGCCTGAGTTGACAGCGGTTGGAGGTGGTATGGGCGTTGAGGGACTCGTTATACTAGGCCTTCTACTTGTGTCTATTTAAACACTTTCCAAAATAAAAAGTCAAAAAACAGAAGCCCGTTGACCATCAGGGAGAAGGGATGTTTGTGTGCAGTGGCGCAGGGCAATTAAGTGGAGGGCCTCAGGCAGCCCAGGCGTGAGGCCTGCAAATCCACCCACAGACTCACCTTGAGAAACTTCGGAGCGACACAGGCGTAGGAGGAGCATGAAGGAGAGGAGAGAAAGAAAAAGAGAAAACAGTCTGAAAACAGAGGCCAGAGGGACTGCCTGAAATATAAAGAGAGGGAGGATGCATGATGGGGATTGGGAGATGGACAGGACCACGGTCAGTGTTCGCAGTGATCAGCTACTGCAGCTGGCGGTCACCCTCAGTGGGAGTGTGGGCTTGGCGGCAGGGGCGTCCCGCCCTGGGGATCACACTCAGTAAGACACTGCCAGAAAGCTCGTGCCAATGTCTCCCCTTCTCCCTTCCCTCCATATCTCAGCCAAGCCCACTCCTCTGCTCACCTTCTGCCTCTTACTCTTTTCCTGCCTCAAACTATTTCACCTCGAGATGGAATCTGGATGGACCCAAGGAAGGATGCCTCAGGACAGGTTTGACTACAACAACCTAAAGATGTTGAAGTGACCCATCCTGGCCCCAGCCCAGCTCTGTCTGAGCCATGTGGTTTGCCTTTTATGTGGATAGGAGCCACATATATAAAACCTAACACTGTGGGGAGGGTAATAGCTCATGGTAGATCACATGCTTAGCATGTACAAGGTCCTGGGTTCAATACTCGGTACTTCCATTAAAAA